CGCCAGAGGTTTCAAGTCGCCTAGGATGCTCCACTTCTGCAGACTGAAAGGTAAACACACCCATCAAGAGCCCTGGGGTCGGGAGTTTTCTCGGCAAAGGAGTGAGACCCACAGGACCGCGGGGTCTACCCAGAAAGCCGCAGTCCCTCCCTAGCCTTCCTGGCTGTGAGTTCGCTCGGGTCAGCCGGTACCGCCCAACACCCAGCGACAGGTCGCGGCGCAGCCCTCCAGCCCCAGCCCCACTTACAGGCAGCGATCGCAGCCCGGCGGCGGCGCGTGCACTGGAGCGGGCCCGGCAGGCAAGGGTAGTGGGATCGGAGCGGGCGAGCCCCGCAAGTCCACACCCGGCAGCGCGTGGCATCCAGCAGGCACTCGCCGCTCCGCGGCCTCCAGTAGCAAAACAAACAAAAGGCAGAGTGGCTTCTAGTGGGGACGACCGGCCGCTTTCCCTGGAAAAGCTGCCCTGCAGCTCCCCTCGCTGGCCCCGCGCGGCCCTGCACCGCGGTCATCTCCCTGACGCTCGGCAGAGGGCAGCGCTGAGCTCCCGGGCCCCACCAGACCTGCCACCTGCCAGGCTGGCTGACCCAGCACACCCAAAGAAGGGGAGCCCTGCTGAACATCTTCCTGCTTGAATGTAAATCAATGCGATTGAATTGTAGACTCACAATGTCTCAAAACAACAAATTTTGGTGTCTGAAGTTAACCACGGTAGAAAAATGCTTTCAGCGTTGTTGCAACTTAAGTTTGAAAGACTGAATGGCTACCTTTCCATGTGGGAAACCATCCGGATGCAATCTACAATCTTTTTTTCCACGCAGCTGTAGGAAATCTAACCCTACTTCCGGTGGTTCTCAACCGAAGGGTCCCTACTCCTTGGGGAGAGAGGGCATCTAAGGATGCCTAAAACCATCGGAAAACACAGATATTTACATTACGATTCATAACAGTAGCAAAATTATAGTTATAAAGTAGCAACTAAAATAATTTTTTCCACAGAAGGAACTGTACTAAAGGGCTGCCGCATTGGGAAGGCTGAGAAACACCAGAACAAACTCACGTCATAAATTATATTGTAAAGTGGACGTGGTGCTGTACACCTTTAATCCCAGCACTCAAGAGGCAGAGGCAGGCAGGTCTATGTGAATTCTGGGTCAGTTTGTTCTACATAGTGAGTTCCAGGACAGCCAGGACTATGTAAAGAAACCCTGTCTCAAAAACCCAAACAAACAAACAAATAACAAAATTGTAGACGTCCCCTTAAATCATCTTAAGGGACGGCTCTGAAGCATTTTGAAAAAATCCAAACTACCTCTCAACCCCTGGAATCCACTGTTCCACAGGGGTATCCCTAGAAGTTAGTAAAAACAAATTTTTGGGCCTCACCCCACAAGTTCCTGGGGTAGTTGCTGCGAGTCTGGAGACCCACACCGTTCTAAACAACACTATTTTATCCAATGCATCAGTAACCCTTTATACTGTTGGGTTTTTTGTGAGTTTAACTCCCCCATTCAGGCTTGGCCTTGACACTGAGATGGTGGAAGTGGAAAGGTCAAGAGTACAAAGCCACTGTGGGATATACGAGAGCTTGTCTCAAAAATAAAATAAAGTAATCCCCAGCTCACCACCATATCAATTTCCTTTCATGACTTACGTCTGAATCCTAAAGACTGAAGGCAGTCTTCCCCCAATCCACCCCACCCCCGAATTTACCAAAGCTCCAATCGCTTCTTCCTTTTGCTTCTGTTGAAACCTACCAGATGATAGTCAAGTTCCCTTAGGCTTCTGTCAACATTTATTTACCTCTCTGCTTAACTCTATGATAGCCAACCCATATGGCAAGTGAGAATCACAAATCATCATCAGTGAACATAAGACAAGGAGCCTAATTAGTCACACGGTGCTCATAAAGGCAATCTTTAAAGTAACTAATTTAATGGCCCAAGCCAGTCTACCTTGCAAATAGGGAAACTATCTTGGTCTACTTTTGGTAGAGGTCCATTGGGTTACTAAGTAGCTTGGATTAGTAACTCTGGCCCTTGGGAAATAATACATGTTGTGGTAATAAAAACCAGTGATGAGGGCTACTGGATACAATGGAGTCCAACTGAAATATGAATCAGCTGCCGTGAGTTCTAATTGTGCTTTAATGAAACAGGAACTCTCACTGTGAAGCAAACAGTGTTTCAATAAAGCAGGTACGCAATTTCTCTTCACAAATATTTATTTTATTAAGCTTTACTATTTTCTTAACTTGTTAGAAGAGTAGAAAACATGTCAATTGGCCAGCCTACCTTGAACATTCAACACTCGCAATGAAACTGACAAGTTCTGAAACTATTTCAAATGATTCTTCATTTGAAAACTGATCTTTATAATTCCAAGCACATCTGTTATACGCTGTGGAATAATCCTTCTGCAGGCTGGGAATATGTAGTACTCTCATTGGTTAATAAAAAAGCTGATTGGCCTATAGCAAGGCAGAATAAAGCGAGGCGGGAAAGCCAAACTGAAAATGCTGGGGGGGTGAAGGGCAGAGTCACAGAGACACGAACAGCCACTCAGGGAACAAGACATGCTAGAGGACAGGTAAAGCCATGAGCCACGTGGCAACACATAGATTAGTAAAAATGGATTAATTTAAATGTAAGAGCTAGTTAGTAATAAGCCTGAGCTATTGGCCAAGCATTCATAATTAATATAGAAGCCTCTGTGTGTTTAACTGGGACCAGGCAGTCAGGACAGAAAAACTCCGGCTACAATTATAAAGCATTTTTTTTTTCCCATTTAAAACCTGATTTTAAAGGGATAACTGGAAGAAAACATTTTCTCGGAAGGCCTATGTTTTAGAGCCTCCTTTTAAAACAAAGAAAACTATTGAATTTTTGGCCAACATTGAATATAAAGTAGTTTTTTTTTTTTTATACGTAGTTAACTTAGTGTACAAATAAAAACATCCATAGAAAAGGGCTGCTCTAAAACATAGGATTTAGGCAAGACAACTCCACTGGTGTATTAGCGGCATGGAGGTGATAAGTAAAATCAACTGCTTTCTGATTGGCTCTGAGACCTGCTCCACAGGAAGGAATTCATGTCTGAGACAGTAAACCTTGTCAAAGTCCATGGCTCAGGAGGTTAAGGTCCTATGGAGGAAACCCATGACTTGTTTTACTAGATGGACACATTGTTAAACTGCCTTTTAAGTATTTGTTTATACCCAGAGATTAGCACTGCTCTCAACCTTACCTAGTCAGAGAAGTCTTCTGCAGTGGACAGCAGTTAATGCAGAGACTCATCACTGGTCAAAGTGATGCTGTTCAGAGGTCAAGGAACAGGTTCCTTTTCTCTGCTGATTAAAGAATTAAGAAGCAGGGAGCTGGAGAGACAGTTTGGCCATTAAAAGCACTTGCTGCAGGCCAGGCGGTGGTGGCGTTCACCTTTAATCCCAGCACTCGGGAGGCAGAGGCAGGCGGATCTCTGTGAGTTCGAGGCCAGCCTGGTCTCCAAAGTGAGTTCCAGGACAGGCACCAAAGCTACACAGAGAAACCCTGTCTCGAAAAACAAACAAACAAAAAACCCAAAACAACAACAAAATAAATAAATAAAAGCAGGTACTGCTCTTGTGGAGGCCTGAATTTAGGTTTCCAGAATCTATGTAAGCTGGCTCATCAGTCACCTGTAACACCAGCTCCAGGTGATCCAAACCCTCTGGTTTTCTTGGGTCCTCTCACACATGTGGTGCACATAATCTTATACAGGTGCACACACATATAAACACAAATAAAAGTAAGTCTTTTAAAAAGAGGAATTAGCTGTGTGTGGTGGCGCACGCCTTTAATCCCAGCACTTGGAAGGCAGAGGCAGGTGAATCTCTGTGAGTTTGAAACCAGCCTGGTCTACAGAGTGAGTTCCAAAATAGCCAGGGCTGTTACACAAAATCCTGTTTAAAAAAAAAAAATTAAAAAGGAATTAAAAGGCAGGAAAGAAATCTTGGGTAGTCCCAGCAGAGCCATCATATGATACTGAGGAAATTGAGTTCCCTTCCTGGGGTTCTTAGTCTTGTTAATAAAAGAGTTTAAAAATGGACACAAGCAGAAGCTCAAGAACAAGGAAAACTCTAAGGCTGGTGAGCTGTAAACCATGAAATGCTAGGAGGAAGAGAACAGAGCAGACCAGCAGCCACATGACAGGAAGGGAAACTTTGGAGAAGGAGCAAGGAAGCTTTTAGTTAGGGAGTTTAAAAGCATACTTAGGCTCTGGCTAGAATCTTAAAGAAAAAGGCAGAAAGAAAAAAAAAAAGTCTTCAGGCAGACCTGAACAGACAGACCCAGGTGAACACTTCATGCTGGCTTCTAGACAATGCACTGGAGGTGGGAATCCTGGGAAGGAAAATTACAATATGAACCCATCTTCCTAGGGGTGGTCCTCTAGCCAAGTCCCCTGACCTATCCCACTAGATTAATTCTTAAGGACAGTCTCCATCTAGAGGTGGATTCCATTAATTACAAAACGGTGGCGCATGCCTTTAATCCTAATGCACGCCTTTAATGCCCACTCTGGAGGCAGAGGCAGGCAGATCTCTGAGTTCGAGGCCAGCCTGGCCTACAGAGCGAGTTCCAGGTGAATACACCACAGAGAAATCCTGTCTCCAAAAACCAAAAACCAAAAAACCCGATGAGAATAAGCGACAGTGCTCAGCCCTAAATGGGACATCTAGATGCCCTCCCCAGCCCCCAGCTCCCGCAACATCTAAGAAGGTGGGGTGGAGAGAATGCGGATGGCGGGGTGTGCTCTGAAATGCTGTTTTCTGGACACGACATGATAGTTGTACTCATTAACTCACTGCAATTATGATTATTTTTACAAAATCAAACCAACAAGACCAGGCAATTTTCCAGCAGGCAACATTAACTGGACTCGGTGGATGACAAACTAAATCAATAAGCAACATACAAAGGATTTGCAATTTCTTACTGTAATCAAGTTGCACCCTTCCCTTTTACCTCCATTTCTTTGCCGAAGACGTGCTTCATTTATGAGCTCCAGAATAAAGTAGCACAATAAAAATTTAAATTCTGTGAAGTCGGGAGAATGTAGAGTCCTGGTGGTTAGGTCCTGACACTTACAGAAACTCAATAAATGTTGTCTAAATGTCTGTCAAAGGCTACGAAGCCCGCAAGTTTTGCTAGCATATGCCTGTAGGTGAAAAAAGTTCTAAAACGTGCAATCCGAGTGCCTTCTATTGACGTGGAATCGGATGTTTGGGCTTTAAGAAGTGGCACAGGGTTGGGGGTGGGTGGGTGTTAAGTTCCGGCTCAACGTGGACCTGCCGACTACAAATCCCAGCGTGCCTCGTTGCGTCGTCCCCCTGCAGGAGTCGGGTTTCAGGCCTAGGCGAAGCACGTTCTTTCCCCCGTTGTATTGTGGGATCTGTAGTTCGACGTGCCTTGCGTTGGCTGTTACCACTCTCCGGCCGCACACATGAGCGTATGTTTTCCTCGGTCCAGAGTCTGTGGGGTGCAATGACTGTTGGGTTATTACTCTTCCCATTCCGACAGGGCACCCAGTGCCCAGGGCGCCTAACCTACTGTTCCCTAGCGTCCAGTTATGAGGATCGACTCGGGGGGCTCTACTCCACACTCAGGTCCAAACATTTTGAGCTAACGTCTGCTTCCTCCTGCCTGGGTGGCCTCAGAACCAGACAAGCGGGTTGAACGAGGCCGGGCAGCCTGGCCACGCGGAGGGCTGCACACAGTAGGGCCACCATCACCCTTGCCCGCGCCGGGCTGCTGCGAGCCAAGCAGGCGGCGGCGGCGGCCGTGCGCATGCGCGGCGCGGCGGCGCAGTTTCCGCAGCCGAG